TTATGTAATTTATTTAAACTTTATTTTACTAGGTAAATTAACTGAAAACCAGTTCTCACTGCTTTACGTGATATTCAGGAGAAATAGCAGATAACGCACTGGAACTTTCTGGAATATAAACGTCATGCGTGTAACTAAACTCTTCAGCCAATAAAGGCAAAGGTATGTCGTCACGGAAGCGGTTACAGATTTTATTGCTTTAACGAGTAAATATATATTGTCTAATTATAATCTATTACAAAACCTATCCCTAATATGTCAGAATGTACAATCCCTTTAGCAGTGAAAGCATTATTATATGTATTATTATATTTAAATAACTTAATGAATTTGGACAACCTAACGCTGACATTTGTCACGTGCAGAAATCCCTGCTGTCCCTCAATGAATGCTTTCCGCTCCAAACATGATAGACAGATAACCAAATTATCTATCTGTTTATTTACATTTGTGCGTTTGCTTAATGCAAAACTCTAGTGCTACTTAGTTTTTGCATGAATTTTCAGCGCTGTTCATCCTTCATATTTAACTGAAATTTTGGATGGACACAAAATACGAGTGGCGGAGGACGCGGGGGAGGGGTATTCCACAATGCAGTCTTCATTAGCCAAGCCAAATATAAGGACTGTCTAAAAGGAATGTCGCTTTCCTCTCCTCCTATTGGACAAGTTTCACGTTTGGTTATCCAGCTAATTGGGGAATTCTGCTTTGTACAGTACCCCCAAGTCTCTTTGGTTGTGCCTTGTCCATTCGGAAAACTTTTCTCTTTTGCCAATTCTGAGTTACATGTTGTAAATCGCTTTTTCTTTGACGCCGGTGGCTCGTCCGATAGTTTTGTTGTCCTCCTCGCCCTTCACTCCCACATTTCACAAAACCGACAAAATAAATATAAAGTCTTTTAAAAACTAACGTTACCTCTAGCTAGCAGTTTAAGTCACGGTGTGGTCGTGGATGTGGATGAACGTATACGTAGACCGACAGCCCACGCAGTTGCTAGGTAACAATTAAGGTAAGTTTTGTGTTTCTGCTACCAATCAAATTAAAACAGATATGGCCAATAGTCACTGTGTTTTACAAGTTTTTAAACATTTACGGACACAGGATTGGATGTATAAAAAAACAGGAAGAAAAAAGAATAGCGGAAGAAGGAATCCTATTGAGGTTTTATTTGAAACTACGAAATTCCAAATTTCCAAATAGATTTTCACAAAAAAACGGGACAATTCGTGTCCCGGGAAAGAATATTAATTTTCCGGGAACGATATCAATAAAATTAGGACAATCCCGGGAAAACCGGAACAGGTGGCGATCCTATCCCTTTGTAGCACCCACCTTGGATAATGTGATGGCAGCCATTCTGTACCAGTACGCTCACCACACAGTAGCTAAGATGGTGAAGGGGAAGGAGAGATTTCACCATTTATATATGGTAAATGATTAGGTGTCAGTGTTTCCCAACCCAGTCCTCTGGGAACCCTGGGCAGTCCACGTTTTTGCTCCCAGCCAATCAGAAACACAGAATACCTGGTACAGGTGCACTGGGAGCTGAGAGGAAGCAAAAATGTGGACTGTCCGGGGTTCCCCGAGGACTGGGTTGGGAAACACTGGATTAGGAGGCCAGATTTGAAAGAGCCACCGTGGGCAATTTTAGTCAGGAGATCAGGGTACCACCCCTACTCTTTCAAAAGATGCCCACGGATCTTTTTTTTATAAACACAGAGTTGGAACTTCGGTTTTACGTCTCATCGAAAGAATGGCACCATTTTTACAGCAGTGTCCCCATCACTGTACTGGGGCATTGGTATCCACACTGACCACAGGAATGTGCTGATCTGCTGGCCACAGTATCCCCATCAGTGTATTGGGATCCACACAGACCACAGGATGGCCACACCAACACCTTCCAGCAGCAACCCAGCTTTCCTAGATGTTCTCCCATTAGGCCCAAACCAGCTTAACTTCAGGTGGATTACCTAGTCTGAATTGCAGGTGGTATGGATGCTGACACAGCCTTAAAATTTAGACCTTATCTTCAGACTTGAAACACTGAAAAAAAAATTAGTCAGAAAAATCAGATTCAGATTTAGAACATATTTAGAATCCCAATATACAAAGTCAGGACAACATGGTGTAAGACGGACATCAGCTGAGAAATGGATGTTTTTTTTTCCTGCAAGGTTTTCAATACATATTATGCAAATGTTCAAAAAAACGGAGACCTAAAGTTTTGCTTAAAAGTAATATTTTCACACATTCAAAAAGACTCAACCTTGATTCTGAAAGCCCCCTAAAGGTGAAGCCACAACTATACATTTCATTTTTAAATATATAACAAAATACACAAATGTTACATCTCTGGCTCGGGTACAAAGGCAGCTAATTTACATAGCCCTGCAAGGGATACTGGCAAGCTTACTACATAAAAGCAGTCCTGTATGTCTTGTTAATCGTGCATATTTCTACTGCTGTTCAGTCTCAAAAAAGAAAAAAAAGAGCTGTGTTGTGATTTACAATAAGCCCAAAAACCTAGGCTTTAAATAAGGAAATGAGATATGCACCATTTTAAAGCTTGACAGTTAAATATGTAGAAATGAGACAGATTATGTCATGAAAAAAGAAACCATCCCAGATTAAACAGAACCCTCAATCATGCCAAATCGGCCGTTTGGGGATCTTGTGCTTGATGGATATTTGCACGTATCGTCCGTCAGAGAGAGATCTGGGTTTCTGTGGGAGGGAGGGGTTAGCCTCTATCCTCCCGTCCCACGCCAGAGTCCGACTGGAGCCAGAGGGATTCCGGTGTCCGGCTGGGTCTCTCCCGCTCACTGCTGCATGTCGGCGGAGCCCGACGGCAAGTTCCGCTCGGGCATCTCGAGCTTCTCGCACTCTGTGAGCCGCAGCGGGAGGTACTGGGCGATCTCGTTTGGGTCGGTGTACAGGGCCGGGGGCACGTGCTGCAGGAGGAGCAAGAAGCAAGTTAGAGGGGGTCAAAGAGCCACCCCATGTCTGATTCTCCCGCAGTGACACCGTCACCATCGAATGAGCAAAGCAGGCGTCTATATCACAACCGGTATTTTCACTTATGCACCTTACTTCCATGTGCCTTACATTCATGTCATTTAGCAGAGACTTTTATGCTAAGTGATGTACATTTTTTTTGTGAAAGCTGGGTCAGACGGTCCCTGGAACAACTTGAATTAAGGGCCTTGCTCAGGGACCCAACAGTGACATCACTCTGCAGAGCATGGGATTTGAACCAGCGACCTTCTGATCACAGGCTCAGAATGCTAACCTGCAGATCCACACACTGCTCCTAAAAAGATACATTTCAACAGATGCAATTCACATTAAGTACTGTGATCAAATGTACAGCACTGGGAAAAAGTTTTAAAATCTAAACTATTCTGGATGAAAGCATCAACTAGGCAAATAAACACACTAAAAGTAATTTACGGATTCCACGGTCTTACCCGTAGTGCAGAAACTTTGCTTTCCCGGGTGCTGAATTCTCTCAACATGTAATTCTTACCACCCTGAAAGCGAAAAAAGAATGCATTAAAATACGATTACCCTAATTTATAAGAAGTTAGTCATTAAAAATTATTATTAATATAGCTCTATTTTATCTGCAACACATGAAGTCTGCCCGATTTTGTGAAGTGTGTACAGTACTTTGGTGGGGAAAAAAAATCAGATACGTTTGAACACAAAATAAAAGATGCAATTAATGCTGATTTAGAAATGCCTGTCACACACACACACACACATACACACACACACACTCAGAGTGGCTTTGCCTGCGGTACCCACCTCGTGATAGACTCGTGTGTCATTGATGCGGATCAGAACTCCATCCACTCGCAGGAAGAACCTCAGCAACACAAAGAAACTCGTGGGCATCACTCTCTTTGCCAAGAAGGAAAGAAAGACACCATCAGAGCCAATCTGTTGGAAACATCTGGGATGCGTGTGAAACTATACATACAATATTTACTGAGGGTCAAAGAAACAGGCAAAAATGCCATCAGACCCTTCCTGAATGATGATTTATTGCCACATTAAATATTTTCAACTTTCAATATTTTCAAAGGGGCCCAAAACGTCTCCTCTTCTTTGGAACTCCTTACAGTAGCAGTATCTGTTGCATTCTGACTGTTTTGTATGACCTGTAATCAGTGCTCATACTTGTTCTGCAAGTACATTTTATGCTCTTTACTCCTGATTTTTCATTTTACTCTTCCTGATGTAAACCATCTTAACTAAATACAGAAAATACAGTTACTAATACCATTGATTTTTATTTGTATTGTTATTGCTTTTATTTCTATTGTCATACGTATATTGCTATTTCAATTAATCTATTTATATAATTTTTCTCTCAGTGGGCAGTGCTGGCTTAATGGTTAGAGAAGCGTACTTGTAATTGAAAGATTGCAGGTTCGAATCCCCGACCAGCAAGGCACCACTGAGGTACCCTGAGCAAGGTACCGCCCCCAAGCACTGCTCCCCGGGCGCTGAATTAGCTGCCCCCTGCTATGTCACGATGCCACATATGGGTTAAATGTAGAGGACACATTTCATTATTGTGTGATGTTCTGTGCCAACACTAGAGGTGTGACGATATACTCAGCCCATGAAACGAAACACGATATTGGGCTCACGAGACGATATTTTAACTATATTTTAAGGAAAAATTCAAAGAGGAAATATATTACTTGAAAGCACCCTTTTATTTGATTAATTTGAAAGACAAAAAATACTAAATAATGCAGCTGTATGGTGAAATGTTTTAAATAAATCACCATCATCATATGCAGTAAAGAACAGAACAAATATCTAGCACCATAAAATATTTCACCACAAACTCAAATGACAGGCTTCTGTCCTATTTGACTTCTAAATTGAACATAAAATAGAATATAAATAAAACAATATAAATAAGAAACATAAAGCATTTTTTTTATGTTTTCTTCACCGGTGCAGTGGATTTAAGTAAAGAGCTATGCAAATGGATTTGCCTATTAGTAGCGTTAGCCACTGTGTACGGCATTATTTTCCTACAATACTTACAGATGGTTCATGTTTTGTCTGTCACCCTTTCGCCGTTTATATTTCCAACGGGTTCCCAAAATGCTGCCACACAAAACATTTAAAAGTGTCTGGGGCATCTGCTAAGGTAATTTCGTCAGACGCCGACATGCTTACAGCAGCTGATTACAACGCCTTCGCGAGACCGCTGTTCACTCCAACGAGAAATCTCGTCATGTGACATGAGATCTCGTTGGTCCCCTGGTCAACACTGATCACTATTTTTTTCTTTTCTTGTGTCCATGATTGGGTAGCCGCTGCATCGAATGTCGGAGCGACTAATGCCGCCATTGGGCCCCTGAGCGAGGCTTTTAACCCCCAGCTCCAGGGGCTCTGCACACTGGCTGACCCTGTGCTGGGACCCCCAAGCTTGCTCTCACCTACAACTTCCCCACAGAGATCAATAAAGCATCACTATTCTATACTTGTAAAGCTTCCTTGAGTGTGGGAAAGGCACTAATTAAATAAAACTTATTATTATTATTATTGTATTGCTAATTTTTTTGCACAATCCTGGAAGCAGGTGGAAAAAGCATTCATCTACTGACATGTATAGTGTACGCTTGTGTATGTGACAAATAAAACTTGAATCTTAATGTTAGTTTTTTGAGACCCAAAATGTCCCCGTTTTAACAGAGAACCTGTGGCTAATGGAGGAGGCGGCGGTGGGGGTGGGGGGGAGGCAGCTCTCCGGGCGACTCACGATCTTCACGCTGATCATGGAGACGCCATGGTCATGTAGCTCATCCTCAAACAGTAGGACCTCCTCGAAGAACATGATCTGCTCACGGGCCTTCAGCTTCTCCATATCGATACGCTCTGTGGTGGGCATCACCTAGGGGGGCGGACCAGGATGCAGACGGACGCGTTTAATCGCGGTGATTTTCCTTGTAGTGCGTTAAAGTTGTCAGTGTACGTTCAAGCCTCCCGACTAAATCGGCTGACAGGGAAACAATCTCACCTTCATCTTCAACTCATCCCCCAGCAAGGTGCCTCTGTAATCAGTAGTGTAGGTCCAGTCATACCGTTTCACCACTTCTTTGGAATGTTCCGAGTCCGCTCTTTAAGTTCACAATTGAGAAATAACAATCAGAATCTTTAATCCCTCATGACTGAGGCTGATGGAAATATTTGCTGGCACAGCTTGCTATTGTTGAAGGCACCATGACAATGAACGAATAACAATTAAGGCAAAACATTTAAAAAGAATAAATACAATATGCACAAAAGAGAGGAGTGAATACTAGGTGTATGATAAGAGAGGTTAACATTCAGTAGTGTATGCATTTACAGTTATGGTAAAGTACTACTACATCGGCCTATGACTAGCAAAGGGGAAAATAGGATTACACCAGGTGAGGGAGGGACTTGCATGCAATTAATCACTGATTGGTTTAGCCCCCATCACTCTGGTGGCTTTGCAGATTCCCATTGGGTCAAATCAGTCTTTGGCTGACAGTGTGGGTTTAGTAGCATTTCCCTTCTTCTCTTACCTGCTCTCTTGCCACTCCTGGGCACAGGCCACTTTCACCGAATCCTCCATGTTGTTCACGCGCTTGAGGGCGTCGATGGCATTGAACTCGATACCAAAACCATCCGTGTGCTGAATGCGCAGCACGTTGTCCCCAAACAGCATCTCGGGCAGAGATGGCATATGCATCTCATCCGCTAAGCTGCAATGAAGGTGTAGAAATGTTAATTGAGCGCTTTTAACCACAGGTTAACATGGGTATGTATTAGGGCGATAGGTCTATGTTTAAAGAAATCGTACACAAAAAAATTAACTGCAAATCCGAAATCAAAGTGAGTTTTTCTTCGTTAAAATCCACTGGCAACGTAACTTTGCCAGCGTAACTAGTGATTCGTCTAGGTAATACTGAAGTTGCAAATGCATTAACCGTCACTGTAATCGCAACTTGAAAACCATAAACAAGTGAACTCGTAAACTGCGATTCGTAAATGCAAATGAAGATTGTACTCTTGACTCTTAGGCAACAGGCACAGGTACACATGCTGCAACTCTGAATATGGATTTGTGTTTCATAAAATTACGAAATCGTGTTGACATTTAATTACTGTTACTTTAGATGTAAATGTATCAACCTACGCCTATGAATCGATTGCACATTATCGGCTACAAACTCTCCAAATTACTCTCGTAAAACGATAATCTGTAAGCCTACAGTGCCACACGTGCAGTGCGAACTGAATGTGTGTTGTAAATGTCACAGTAGAAGTGTACTTGCAAATTCTTTGCCTACAGATCAACGTACAGATATACAAATATTTTTTCAGATTTGCAATTTATTTCTAACGTACGACTATTTTAGGCATAAATTTATCTCCATAATGAATGTCCCAAAAGCAAATGAACGGAACCCGTAAAGAGAGAGTTGGAAATCATTATTTTTGAGCAGGAAATCAGTAACACAAGTAAACTTTTCCCCTCGTTTTTTACCGTTCAATGTCTTTAGATTTCATTATGTGGGTTTTCGCGGCGGTAACTCTCCAGGGTCCAAATGTGAAGTCTTGTTTACTGCTTTTAAATCCATGGGACATCATGGCTGCCAAGGTGGCTAACAACAAATCTAAAAGCAATACAGGGTGAATAGCGTAAATGACATCGGTACAATTAGTGCACGTGACATAATCCATAAATGATACATTCACTTATGAGATCATTTACAAGATTTCAATTACGAGATTTCGACTTTTATAAATGTAATGCCGGGAATTGCAGAGGTGGCAATGATTATACTATTTTAATAACAATAAGCTAGATATATGCAGAATCCAAGAACCTGCTTCGTGTACCAGTTCTAAAGGTTTCACTTTGCAGAATAGTGGTAATGCTTCGCAAACATGACTGTTAGCATAACGACGCTATGTTCTACACAAACTGAAATCATATCATCTGCACCGAAATACTTATCAGATTTGTAAATAATAATAATAATAATTCAAATTAATACAGGTACTGGAATAGATGGGATTAGGATCCTTAGTCCCACTACAGCCACACACCTAGCTAGTTAGCCATTTTCACCACAGCTAGACAAAAAATCATAACCAGTTGTTGCGCCGTAATTTGTATCTTAGACGGACACAAGCACTCCAAATGAGTACGACATACCACAACTTTCCTCTTTTTTGTATTTACGCATAAATATTTATTAAATAAACTTCTTCCAAAAACAGCGGTCCTCGTGAAATGAGCTTCATGAAATACCTTCCGACGTAACAAAGCTTCGATCGTAGCAGTCGTTCCGCTAAAGCATTAAGAAATAAAATCATTACTTTGACTGAAGAAAGACAAATTGTAGCCTTTATAGAATTTCTATAGCATGTATATACATAATTGTGCATAAAATGCAATTAAAATACCAAAATAAATTTAAGAGAATTAAACTGAAAACTATGTGACTTGGTCCAGGACAGAAATGTGCTCGGAGGGAAGTCTTTCAGATGAAATCGTTCCGCTGTAAAGCATAAAAATACACTTCATGCCAATGATTAGTTCAGCAGTTCAGAATTTATTGAAAGAGATATAGTGAGGTAATTTAATTATTGCTTAATATATTAAAGCTTACATTTTTAGAAGGAAAAAGTTACCGATGAGGTTATAAACAAAGGTGAATTAAAGCATCTAAGCAAGAATGAAATAGTTCGCAGTTTATCGTTAAGTCTTTCAAGTGGTGAACAATGATCTGAGGATTTCTAACGATAAAATATTCATGTTTTGGATGTCCAAAATACTACTTCATATAAATGTGCTCATAGGACAGAACAATTGCGCTTCAAGGAATAAACTCTTTCTTTTCAAAAAAGGGGCATTCTTGCGGAAAGTACATACACAATCGTTGACCTGTGAGGGTCTTGAAATTAATTTTTTTTTCTTCTTTGGGTCCTCTTTCTTAAGGCTTGGAAAAAGTCAATTTGTGTTGTATTTAGCTACTAGTCCCTATAAGCTCGTAATAAATAGTATTTCTCCGTGATTCCTGGACGTCAGAAGCAGTTGTGTGGGTGGACCCATTCATCATTCATCTTCATTCAACATTGATTACCTCTTTTTAAATTAACATTCAATCCTAGAGACGATCTCATGAAGCATCGTATTAGGTATATTATGTAGAGGTATAATTCATTCAATTGTACATGAAAGAAAAATTAAAAACTTACTGAATTATTTATGTAGTAGAAAAACAAGGAAAATTATCGTCACGCAAAATGCTCCAAAAATATTGGAATTGCAATTCCAACTGAAATGAAATAACATAAATATTATTGTGCAGAATTCAAAAAAAGGACAATTTTTATGTTTATTGCATAACTTTATATATGTATCTTGGTGATAGGATAGTAATCCAATGAGCACCTGTTTTGTGTTCTTTACACTGAAATGTGTAGTTGAGGGG